TAAGGGTATTTGAACACAATGACTTGGAAATAATAGTTCTACGAGGGGAGTGGGATGAGAAGGGGGGCGAGGGATGTCACCATATTTTATCTGAGTACTTTACACTCCAAACTAAACTTTGATCTCCAGGTTTTCAGATTTAGGAAAGAAAAGAGAGAGAGAGAAAGTAAGTCCAGTTATTTCAAGGCACCTACCGGCTCGAAGATGGGCACATTCCTGGCTCCGGGCGCCTTATCTTTGCGCTCGAGCCGCCTAGGCTGTCGTTATAGGCACAGAAATCCCCGCCGTACAGCCCTGGGCTCTGGTGTGCCCCCTGTCCCCGCGAATCCCCACGTCTGACCCCCGGCGTCCGCAGCCGCCGACCGCCTCGACTTACCAGCGGAGTCCGCGGAGGGAGTGAGAGCACCGCCTTCACGCCCGCGGAGGAGGCACCGGCAGCACCATAGTCCCCGACGCCGCTGCCACTGCCCCTCGCCCGCTCGCTCTCCGCGCGCTCTCTTCTTCTTGCAAAGTTTCGGGTTCTACGGTCGACAAGAAACCGGGGCGACCCTCAGCAGGTCTTCCCCATGCAAGCTGGGGTATATTTAGGATGGCGGGACGAGTGAGTAGTCTGGGGGGGGGGCCGAAGACTGGGAGGGCGGCGGGATCACAGGACCCGCGAATTCGCGTGGAGAGAAGAGAGGATGCGACTCTGGGAATCCCTGAGAGGATCCTGAGACCGAGAAAGCGACCCGAGCCAAAGTCTCAGCACCTTCCCCGGGATCTGTCTTACAAAGTTGCAACAACAAAAAAAGGGGGGAGTAAAGGGGGAAAAGGGGGTGGGATACCGATTCGATCGCAGGCGCGAGGTTTGGAGTTACAACTGTTTATTTAGCCCTTTTTCTCATAGGGGGCGGGAGCTGCGTTGGAATGGGGGGACTGAAGGCAGCGATTTCGAAGCGAACACTTGGGAGGGGGGCATGCGACTTTGTTTCTGGGCGCAGAGCTGCCAGGCGCTCGCGAGTCACCGTGAGTCTCCGAAGATCGAGGCGGAGCTCACAACAGGTGGGGAGGGGGGCTCGCTGAGGGCCAAAAAAAAGAAGGAATCAAAGTTTCCGAGTGCGGCTGTGTCTAGGGAGAAGGGGGGCGGGGGCGGGGGAGAGAGGAGGCGGAGGCAGCTAATGACCGCGACCCCGCAGCAACTGGCAACTCCACGACTCCCGGCGGCGCTACAGCCGCCGCAGTCCCCACCCGAAGCGCACGCCGCCCCGGCTTGCCGGCTCCGGGGAGTCGCCTACACCAGACTGGAATGGAGCGCCGAGAGATCGGGAAGAGGGCGGCGCGCAAACGAAGGACTGAGAGCCATCGGCCGCCAGGACAGGGCTGGAGACGCAGCGACAAGCGCGTCGTCGGATGGATCTGGGCTCGGGAAATCCCCTCGTACCTCCAGCTTTAGAGGGGCGTATAAAGAAAGTGTGGTTGCAGGGAAAGGGAATGGGGGACCGGCGACACCCCGCGGCGCGCCCCGCTCCCACCCGCGGGGTTGGCCACGTGTCGCGGGAGCTTCGCGGGGAAGCTGGGGCCAGCGGGGCAGAGTGCGCGCGGTGGTACGTGCCTGGCTGGAGTGTGTAAGGGTGTGTGTCTTAGTTTTTCCGGCTCTGGGGGGCAAAGGAGGAAGCACCCCTACCTCCAGATTGGAGGAAGGCGAGCGCAGCACCAGGATGCCCCCAGGCGCGAAGCCTAGTACCTAGGTAACTCTTGGTCAGTCTGCCACGGCCAGCCGGGCCGCCCAAATAGCTCTGAAGGGGCACACACCAGCAGAGAGCAAGGAGAAAAAGTTTGCTCCAAGTCCAAACTTTGGGCTGAGGAGGTGCTCGGCGCGCGCCCCCCGCCCGCCACGATGTCGGCCCGGGGTCCCCGCACCCGCCCTGTGCCTCAGTTGGCACCCCTACGCCAACTCTGGGCACCAAAGTTCCAACAGACAGCCTGGGCACGTTTATTTCGCTCCCCGCAGCGATCTCGAAGAGCTCAGGGGGAGGCGTGAAGGACCGAGGGGGAGGCAATCGCGCCTCCACGCCGACACTGCGGCCACACCACCACTTGACTTATGCAAATAGACCCAAGGGTGCGGGCGCTGCCTGGCCCCCACCCCCACCCGCAGCCCCCACCCACCCTAGAGCCTGGGCCTGGGCCCAGGGAAGAGAGGCAGAGAGGAGAGGGGTGGGGGAGATGCACGTGGAGCCTGGAGGTGGAAAGTAGTTCTTTTTTTTCTTTTTTCTTTCTTTTTCTTTTTTTTTTTTTTTTTTTTTTTGCTGGTTGTTGTTGTTGTTTAAAGTGGCGGAAACAAGGCAGGAGGCGGCTTGGGAAAAAGTGGAGCAGAAATGGAAAAATACAAACTCACCCGCTGCAAATGGTCTCTCGGTGCAAACTAAGGTGTTTTCGGGCCTTTCCCCGCGCGCGCCCACTCCCGCCCGCGCGCGCACCCCCGCGCACACACTCACGCGCGCACACACGCACTCCCTGGCGAGGGCCAGGCCGCCGCGAGTGCAGCATGCAACCGCCACACAATAAATAACAATAGATTCCTCCGCTCCGGACTAGCTTCCCGGAGCCGAGCCAGTAGCGGCGGCGGCAGAGGTACGGGCAGCCGGACCGGGGGCGCCCCCAAGCTGGTACTCCAGCCTCCTGCCAGGGCCTCCTCTCCGCCTCACGCTCTCCCAAGACTCCCCCCAGCGCCCCCAGAGTGCAAGCAGCTCCCTGTGCCACTCTGGCGTTTGCGTGGAGCCCCCCCCCCCTTCTCTCCCCGCGGCCTCCCGGAACAAACAAATAAATAAGGCGCGCGAGAGGCCAACACGTCGCGGAGGGAGATGTTGTTATTTTTGCTGTTGTGCGTCCCTGACGTCACATCCACCTGCTGGGTAAACAACAAGGCTCGCAGAGAAAAAAAAAAAATCGCAACTGCCGAAGCGTCAGGGGTGGAGGGAGGCGCGGAGAAGCGCTAGCTGAGGGGGGGAGGGCGACCAGAGATGTGGGAGTGAGAGGCGTCAAGACTGGGTGGGGGTGGGGGGAGCGAGAGGGAGTTAGCCCCGCAGACCCGGGAGGGGAAGGAAACGCCAGAGCAGTCTCTGGCAAAAAAAAAGGAGATGGCAGGAAAGACCTGGAAATAAGGGGCGTCATGGGGGTGGGAGATTCCTCAGAAGAGGGGAAATGGGAACTCATTCAAACACCAGGAGAGGGGGGGAGAGAGAGAGAGAGAGAGAGCGTTTAAACGACTAGGGACGAAGATGGCAATGCGATGGCTATTTGCTTGTTTTCTAAGCTAAAAATACAGAAGGAAGGGGTGAGCATAAGCAAGGATGTGAGTTTCCTCCAGTTAAAAGTGAAAGTGTTTTGCCAACAATGACAGTTCGAGGGGGAGGTGGGGTTGTGTTTTCAACCCCCTTTTTCCTCTCCCATCCTCCCTCGGTCTCTCCTCATTCTTTCTGCACTTTGTCCAATGAAAGGAGCGAGTTCGGGAGGTGAAAGTTCAACAGAAGGACAAACCCGTTTGCGAGGAAACAGAAACCCGCCAGCGAGGGGGTTTTTCCCCAGGATCTCCAAACGGGAGAGTGTACTGTAGGACAGGCATTTCCCCCTTTCTTGTAAGAGTCAATGCAGGAATGTGAGGTTGGGTCAGTTTGGGGAAAAGTGGCTGAATTAGGAACTGTGTCCCTCTTAGGAAAACGCCTAGGGTCTAGCATGTCAATAAGTTGTTTAACACAAATTACCTGCTCTCCCAGAGACCAGTCACATGCAAAAGCTTTGTCCAAGTCTTTGAAAAGGTGAGATTTATTTTTTCTTTTGACTATTTTGAAGTTTGGTTGAATTTAGAAATTTGAAGGAGTAAATTAGGAGCCTGAATGAACTATTTTGAAATACATAAAGGACTTTAGTATTTCTTTCACTTTTATAAATACATATAGAGAAGATAGTAGAGTTTATATTTTGAAAATGTGAAATAGAGTTATGACCTCTACAGCTTTTTGTTGTTTTCTCTGTTAACAGAAATGATTCTTCTCAGACCCATCACCCCAGATGCTGCCAAACTCCCAAGCCAGCATTTCCAGCTACTGGCTGGCTGATGTACCAGATTCTTTATGAAGTTAATATATTGAAAGTCACTGCTGTGGATTCCTTCAAAGTACTTACCCTTAGTGGTGTGTAGGGGGGACAGCTTACTGTCTGTCCCTTTAGTCTTGAGACTTCAGTACAGTTGTAGATAATAAATATTCTAAAAAGGTTATTATAATTTCTTTCAGATAACATCTTTTTACAAATACTGTTACATACTCATTGTACCGACAAATCTCAATCTCAATTTCAATGATAGCCTAAGACTACCACTTTAAATTGTAGCTATTTTACAAGTGAAAAATAACAAAGCCATTCACTGGTGCTACACAGTATAGTAGAATTCATGTTTTATTCATGCTTTGCAAGATTCCATGCTATCCAGACAAGACCATCCATCCGATCTTTTAGACTAGAATTTAGATAAATAAAATGCATTTTTGTTCCTGTAAAACATCCTAGCTTCTTAGAGTGTGGGTTTCTGGTATCTTTGATGCAAGACATTAATGACACACCTACAATGTTCTAGGCCATATAGTAGTCAGTGAGGGTGCAAAAATAAAATCCCTGTCCTTGAGGAGCTCACACTCTACAGCTGTCAGTATTAACAACTAGTATTTATTGAGTGCCCACTATGACCTAGGCACGGATCTAAAAGCTTTATGTCAAGGCACTTAACACTCTGACCAAGTCTGACATCACTGGAAATTCCATCTGCTGAATTCACATGGAATTAAATGGAAATCTACAAAGTAGCCAGTGTGTTAGGGGAAGAAAATCATCCTTAATTTCTAAAATGTTTATGCCGGATATGTTTATGATGTAACGAGTTAGAGAATTATAACTCAGGGGAATAGCAATTTCTTTAAATGTGACAATCTATTGGTCTTGTGTTTCAGATGAGCAGCATGTTTTTTAAAATTATTATTATTGCCAAACTCGAAAGATCTTTAGATTGCCACTGATCTTACTCTGCACTGTAACTGCCTTTAAATTCCACATTCATTTGAAAGTGGAGGCCAGAGTTAGGTTGGCAACAAGTTTTGCAGACAAAAGGAAATCCTGGTTGTAAGTCTCATGATATACTGTACTCAATTTTGTATATGATATTGTCTAATGTGCCGCTTTATTAAGGAATTCCATGTCCATTTGGTTTACATTAGAGGGAAACTTAACTGCAGCTTAACATATTGTTCATTTTCAACACTGTCACTTTATATTCGCAGGGTGTACATTTTAATTTCTTTATCAGTAATCAACTGGAAGTTTCTTTTTGTTAAATTAAAGCAAGAAGGGTTTTTAAATAAGGGCGTGGGGGTAGGACGCCACCTTTTGGTGATAAAACAGATGTTCCTGACATAATTTCATTTTTAATTATACCAAGGCAAAAGTGATTGTCCCCATTTTGTTATATTTTAAGTAACAAGGAAAAAAATTCATTGTAAATGCACAATTAACAAACTATACTTAACTTCAGCTACAATGTACCCAATATTAGACCACATTAGTGCCTTGTCACACACTATTATTAACTGTACCTCAAACATGAACTTCCTTCTCTAAAATACTGTATCAATGAATATATGCACATTTTGGGGAACAGAAACTGGAGTGGACATTTACCTCTTAACAAGATGCCAGAATTGTCTTGTAAGTTTAAAGTGAAGCAATTTTTTAAAACATTGGATTACATTTTTGTTAAACTACAGGTACTGCCTTCTTGATTTCTGCCATATCTATATAACAGTACTCCCTGAATAAATAATATACTGTATTCCTTAGAGTACAGTTGCTGTAGTAATGATACTACATATTTTCCTTTAAATCAACCTACTTTTTACTTATTTTTGTATTACCAAATTAAATGGCAATTGGTATCACCCTCCATAAGTTAAAAACAAACACAGTGAAAACAAAGTCTTTATTATAAAGGGAGAGTGGCAAGTGTTAAGAGGTGTCAATGACAACATCATGGAGGATTTTTATATTCTCTTTCTGATCAATAAGAAGGATTGAAAGTGATTGGAGAAGGGATACACTTCTCAATATGTGAGTTAATGTTATATAATGCCATGCCTGGGTAGGGACAAAACTCCTATACCTTGAGAGACATGGGCATAATCAAATATATCAATTTAATTTGTACAAGAGGAAGCTGAGTCTAATGCACATTCAGTTGCCCTCTAAAGTCAAAAAGTGGGTTAGTGGAAGGACAAAGATTCAAATCTACTGTGTTCTGACTTGGACTGTTGTTGTTAGACATTGTAGACTTGATTCCAACTCTGGCAACCTCATGTCTGCAGAGCACAATTGCTCCTTAAGGTTTTCAAAATTTTGACCTTTTGGAAGATCATCAGGGTTGTCTCCATAGGAGCCTCTGGGTAGGTTGGAACCACTAACCCTTCAGTCCCAGCCACCTCATTCCACTGCCATCAAGTCAATTGTAACTCATAGCCACCCTTCAGTAGTCAAGCAGTAATGAGTTGTGTCACCTAGGCATGTGGAGCCTATGTTTTCCATCTCACAAAAAGGATGAGTGATCAGTCCTCATGTATTGTACCCTGTGTTTCAGAAACAGCCAGCCCATGTATCTCTTCACAGGCGAGAAACTGAAGCCACAAAGGTCAAGATCAAGTTCCACCTCCTACAGACTCACCTCCGCTCCCCAAGATGTGACAGACACCCTGTGCTTATAAGCACAGAAAAGAGGGGAAAGGAGAGAAAAGAGTGATAAAGGGGAATAGTGGAGAGGAAGTAGTAAGAGTGAGGCCTACTATTCTTTAAATGAAAGCTTAAATTCCTAAGCTGCTTCCCAAGAAGGTAAAAATGGCTGATGAAAATCATGTGTTTCACAGTAAAGGCAAAGCCCCTTCTCTATGTTTGATGTTGCTATAGTCCATATAAGGAATCTGCAGGAAACCTCTTATTTTAAAGAATACAATATAAACTAGCCCTCTTGAGACAAATCACATTTGGTAATTGAGTAGCTAGACACCGAAAGTGTTTTCCTCAAAACTTGGTAAGAGGATCAGCATTAAAACTAGAGACAGTGTTGCATTTTCTGATGTTTTTTAGCCAGAGGAAGGAGCCTTCCTTACAGAGAGTGCATTTCCTGCTCTCTTCTTTTAAGAGCACAGTTCCAAAAACATAAATAAACATGGCCTGAAGATAGTTTTATATTTTTCCAAATTGGTCCGTGTGAAAAAAATGTTGCTGATAACTATACTAGAGCATTTGTCATGTGGATCCCTGTGGATTGCAATCCATATAAACTACAATGCATGATGAAATATTTGGCCAAGTAGCTCCACTCCAGAAAACTGCTTATTGTCCCCTAGCCCTTAAGGAAGGAGCCCTGGTGGTGCAAGTGGTTTGCCATCAGCTGCTAACCCAGAGGTTGCTGGTTCAAACCCACCAGCAGCTCCATGGAAGAATGGCCTTACAAAGTGCTTCCAATAAGACT